CTATGGCCAGGCACAGTGCTGCACGCCTGTAATCCCAGCACTTGGGAGGCTGAGACAGGATAGCCATAAGTTCAAGTCCAGCCTGGGCTACACAGCGAGACCCTGTCTTTAAAAAAATCTCGTATATATTCAGAAATAGCACCAGCCCATGATCGTCTCTCTTTATAAGGAAAATTTGAGTTCCAGGGACAGTGGCCAGGAGTTGGAAGCCTGGTCTCTAGCATGCTGGCCTCTGCAGTTTCATTTCAGGCTTCCTGTCTCCTCTCCAGCAGAGGGCTTTCCCTCTGAGCCTTAATTCTCTGTGTTCTAGAGTCTGCCTTACATGTGTTCCTGAGCCTGTCACCTGACAGCCAGGAAGACAGTGAGTGTTCTTGGGTCCGAGTAGACCTTTCCAAAGATGGCTTGGGCAGTGCTGATAGGTTTTATATATAGAAAGTTTATAGGAGGGTGACTAATTCCTATATCAGTAACACCCTTTCTTCTGCTGTAGTAGGTAGAGCTAATGAGATGAAGCTTTTCCAAGGGAGCCAGAAGTTATTGACTGGGCTGACATGTCTTGGGTGCAGCCCTCTGCATGGTTGGACCATGTGTAGTTCTTAGGCGCAGTTAAGTGTCCAGTCCGTGCCCTGGCCTCTGTGTGGTGACAAGGATTTCTCTACTGCTAAGTTCCTGGTACTGAGGGTTTTTTCTTTTAATGTCCTGCTATAGATTAAACCCACAGTCTTCACACTGAGCTACATCCAGCTTATTTGTTCGTTCATTCTTTTTTTCCCTTCCTTCTCTTGCTCCCTCCCTTCCTTCCTTCTCCTTTTTTCCCTTTTCCTTTCTTCCTTTCTTTCTCCCCACTGTCTCCCCCACACACCCTCTCTCCCTCTCTCCAAATTACTAAGTTGCATAGGTTGTGCAATCCTCGTGTTCCACTGTGCCTGGCCAGCACTGAGTTCTTCGGCAGTCATTTCCTTCAGGTTTTCCTGGGAGTGAAGTTTTCACATTGACACTCCTGAGAGCGGTACTCAGAGTAGCTCTAGTCTGGAGCATCCTGCACCCTGGCACACAGGTGCTGCGCCAAGTGCCAGCCCCATGAGGGAGCTCCTCTTCTGGTTCCTTCAGTGACTATGCTTTCCTGGTTTGGGCTGACTATAGACTAGTTCTATTAAAAATTTTATTATATGCTAAATACTGCTCCAAGTTTAAGTATATAGTTTATTACATGTAGTTTAGATTTAAACTGAAGATCAAGAGATAGATACTGAGATAAAGTGAATCTTAGCTTGGAGAATGTGTAATGGAGAAATTAAGTGTTAATAATTAGACATTTCCTGAGCTCAACATTACAGGGAGAGGCTTGCTGTGATTTATTTTAAGGAGCGATTTTACTGTAAAAGGGTTGCTCTGACTTCTTAACTATGTGAAAGTGGTTATGCTGCAATTTTTTTTTTTTAACTTTAAAAGCACTGAAGAGCTAACAGGCAAAACGTAAGAGAAAGCCAGAACCCAGAGCAGTAGAGATTTTTTTCCCTGGGTTTTTGTATGTTTGTTTGTTTGTTTTTTGATGCTTTGACGCTCAGCTGTGGGTTAGGTGACTGTACTGTGTGGCTGAGGGTTGAAACCCCACCCTTCCCAGGTGGAAATGCAGTAGGTGGGAATTCATAGGACACCACAGAGGATTAGGAAGAAGCCTGGGGGCAGGGCAGAGAGGAAGGGAGAGAAGCAAAGAGGAACATAGGGAGGGAGGATGGGGACAGCACAGAAAAACGGAGTGGGGTGCAGGGTACAGTGGCAGCCAGCAAACTCCATGCAGACCTGAGCCTCAGTCACCCATCCTGAGGACGGGGACAGTGACCATAAACAGGTCCTATCTCAGTGGCCTAGGCAACAGTGGGAATCATCTGCAGGGAGAGAAGAACAGACCCAGGTCCAGTGCAGAGGCTGTGAAAAGGCTGGGATCAGCACAGGGACAGGAGACCCGCCCCCAGTTTCTCCCTGTGCTAGAATGATGAAGTGAAAACCAAACAAGTTTGCTTGTTGGGCTTAGAGGAAACAGATTTAAGATGACTCTCCTTAGGGCTGGATCCATTCCCCCACACCAACCAAAATATAAAATAAAATATCTAGTACAGGAACCATTACAAAGCATAAAACACATTTTAAATTTATTAAGTTGGATGTTGTGCATTCTTTTTATTTTGTTCTGAAATTAAAGCATGAAAAATAGATTTATTAACTATGAAAATGTTTTAAAGTTATATAGCTTAGTGAAATTCTATATGTGTGATACACACACACACACACACACACACACACACACACACACCCCTCCATACTCTCCTATAACCACAGCTCAGGTCAAGATAGGGTGGGGTTGGCCAGCTTTCTCTGTAAAGTGCTAATAGTAAATACATACACCTTGTATGAAAATGCATAGCTGTATTCCAATACAAAAAAAAAAAAGAAAATTTAAGGCACTCTGGGAGGCTGAGGCAGGAGGATCACCATTTGTATCCCAGTATGAGCGACTTGGGGACCTGGCAAACCCCAAAGCAGAGATGTGCCTCTGGTCTCAAGTTGCTTGTGTCCTTTTCTTGCCCTTTGCTTCATGAAAGAGAAGGCAGGTCAGGCCGTGGTTCAGCTCCATGACCCCCAAACAAACTGCTGTTCTTAGCCTGCTGGGCTGCTGTCCACACCTGGGAACTTTGATCACTGCACCAAATATAGAATGTTCCTTCCCAAGAGACAAAAAGAGAGCTTGGGTGTGAAAAAAGGAGAGAAACCTGCAAGGAAAGGCATGCTTCTGACTGTAGACTTGCTTTAAATAGGTGGGCTGGTGGGATTTCAGCCAGCCCTGCCCACCTACAGGACCCAACACATCAAACAGGGACAACCAGATGCTGCCACCAGGCACGATTCACACTGCAAACCCTGACATTCAGTCTTTATCACACAGTGCCCGACAAAGTGAGTTTGTTCAGAATAGCTTTATTGTGAGTCACATAATCTTGAACAGTACAGAGCTGCAAATAGCCACTCTTCCTTACCCTAGATAGCCTAGAAAACTGTCAAGTGTGTGGCATTGTTAATCCCACTTACAGAAGCAGTGAAAGAAAGATGCAGTGTAGACATTCCAAAGGAGTTTTATATGGGATTTGCCTTAAGTGATTACAAAAATTCTAAGCCATCTTCCTACTAGGGTTAAATATGGTTGTCTCCTTCCCCGGGACTGAACTACATAGTAAGAAGGACTGAAAGGTTTAATAACGTGAAGATCACTGAAAGGCAAAAGAGGGCAGCCTCAGGTGGCTGTGGATCTGTGGAGGCCCCAGCCATGATGCCTGAGGAGCCTCAGATGTCCTTTCCACAGTCGGGGCACAGGATGTCGTCCCTCTCAGTGAGGAAGCCCCGCCCCACTAGGGAGAGCGAGCACTTCTTGCAGTTGAAGCAGTCATTGTGCCACTGCCGCTCCTCGAAGGAGATGTACTTTGTGCCACCAAGTCCTGCAAACAGAGAAGACATTGCACTGGGTGAAGGCGTGCACCTAGGGAGAGGTAGGCACCTTGGACTGGAGAAAGAGCCATGTGGTCCTTCTCAGTGCTCCCCTCCTGTCACATGTTGTTAAGGTTTGGATCTAAAACAACATGACCTCCTTACCACTGGATCAGCAAGTTCCAAACCACTGTGCCTGAAAAAGGCACCAGGATCCTTCAGGGCTCTGGCCAACATTCTCACCAGCTGATCACGTGGGATGTTCCTATTTGCATGTGCTCTGGTGAAATACGTACACTCAACCCCACACAGCCTAACTTTATAAACAGTAATCTGGACAGAAGCTACTGTGCAAACAGCATTAGAGATTAAACCATTATGGCAAAAGGCTGCATTTCCCCCTGAAGTATTCCAAGGGAGATATGGTATGGAAATGACCTGAAATAGACATCTTAACAGAGGAAAATGTAAGTGGTGTGATGCTTTCCTTGTATTTTAGTTCCTGAGCTCTGGGTTACAGAGTGTTGCTTATGTGGCCTGGAAGGACAGTTACCAGTCAGGGAACTTGGTCCCAGGCCTAGGAAAGAAAATCAAAGGCCAGAGTTTGTGGTACATCTGGGGTCATACTGCCCACCAGATAGGAATGTTTGGTGACCCAGCCAGGCCACCATGTGCCTGTCATACCCACCATCTTCCTGAGAGGGGCCCAGGTAATCAACCAAATGATGGGGCTGGGACTGGCACACTGTGGAACGTGTCCTGTGCCAGAACAGAATGCCCACTTCCTTCTTCCCACCTGGCAATGACTGATGCCTCAGTACACGGCAGCCATCTAAAGGAGTTAGGTGGAGTCCATCTACTCTGCACCTCGAATCCTCAGGATGTTTATTGCTCAGTCCAGCACCTGTTCATCAGGCCTGGACGCTTTGGGGAACAGCATGCAAACCCTCTTGGAAGGTGCCCTCTGCCCCCACCCCAACTCTGGCCTGTGGTGTAGCAGAGCCACTCTGATGCCATAAGGAACCTCAAAGAACCCCGGGACGCTGTGAGCTCCATGACCTTATAGACTGGTATTGGAAATGATCCAGCCCAAAGTGGAAAGGATGCCCAAGAACAGGATGCATGGGCCCAGTGGGCAGGGTTGACTGGAAGTGACCTTCTGGCATGCACGCACAGAGAGGGAAGCCCAGGGTCGCACTCACCGCTGATGGGGTGGGTGCACCCGGCACACTTCTTGGCGTACAGGTCGCAGAAGCAGGTCAGGCAGTAGGCAAAGTCGTCTCTCGCCGTGAAGCGCTGGCCCGACAGTGGCTTCCTGCAGGCAGTGCACACGAAGCACTCTCGATGCCACGGCTGCTCCCGGTAGGTGACACCGCCTGCTGTGATGGGCTGGGGAAAAGGGGGTCAGTAGGGTTCTCACCTTGCCGCTGCCCCAGGCCCCATGCCAGCCCCACCCAGAGAACAGTCAGAGCTGTCCCCACTCCAGGCTGCAGTTACCCCTTAACCCCAGTTTGAGCTTCACTCCAGCGTGGCCGCCCTCATGTCCCCTGTGACACTGATTCCAGTCCTTGTCTACCCTGCATGTGAATCTTAGCACCTCAGTGTCCTGGTCCATGAGGTGGGGGGCTAAGGATGAGCCCAGGACCCTCGTGGGGACCCCACCCAGCCCACCCCAAGTTCTAGGACAAACCAAAACCTCCATCCCCCCCTGCCTTGGATTTAGAAAATCTGAAAAGCCCCATTTTATCTGGAGTTTTTCTCTAAATGTCACTTGTCTTTCAGGGAACGATGAGCAATGGTAAGACACAGGATGGGGGCAGGCAGATGGGGACCGTCCGCTGTGAATGGCCTGCTTTTATCTGTTGAACCGTGTAACTACGCGCAGTAATGTCTGCAGTCTGCACATGGAGCTTGTGAAGTAAGACAGATCATTCCCATTTTACAGATCGTTCCATTTTACAGATGATAGGCCCAGCGATAGTGACCTACTCAGGAATTAATTGAGAGCTGGCTAAGGAGAGGCAGAACTAGGGTTCAGGAGCTTAATCTACTATATTCACAAAACTATTAATTATAAACAACCAGCCTCTAAATCTCCCCCTCCCCGTTCCTCAGAACAGAATCTGTGGGAACACGGTGGGGGTGGTATCCCATGGGACCAGAAGTCTCCATCCTCCTGTCTGCATTCCCTGCCTTCTTTCCTCCCATCGTGCTGGGCTCCTGGGATCCATGACTTCATCAGGCACTGCTTCCGGAGGGGAGCACTTTTGTCTGCACTGGAATTGGGCATTGGGTTCCCTCGCCCACTATGGGATCTCTAGTACCCCAGGACCTCATCCTCCTCATTCCCTGGGGTGAACACCCTGTGTGTGTATGTGTGTGTGTGTGTCCCACAGGAAGTGAGGTTTGCATGTGTGACCTGAGTAGGTCATGGTGGGGGTCAGGTTGACAGGAGAACAGGAAAGGGAAGCAGATGGGCTCATGAGAGCTCCGTCTGAGGGCGGGAGTACAGTGTTCCTCCTGCTGCACCCAGGGAATGAGGGGAAGTGGGTCGCTGCACCTGACCCACAGAACCCACCGAGCCATGCCAGTCAAGAGGCTCAGTATTCCTGCTCACTTTAAGGATGCCCAGAACTGCCTGGCTGTAGAGGGCACGCGTACCAGCTGCCCTGCACATGCAGCACGCCCGTGTACACAGGTGGTGGTGGTGGGGTGTCCTGGGCCAGCAGAGCTATGGGCCCAGGCCAGTGCTCACCAACGTGGGGTGGCGCCAGCCCAGCAGGTGCAGGCTCAGAATCTCTAAGCATAGAACATCTGCCAGCAAGTAAAGCTCCAAGACACCCCTGGGGGACACCTAGAGCACCACGGTAGCCTCAACAAGTCCAGGAGCTATCTCACCACCAAAAGGACCCAAACGCACCTGACGTGAAGGAGTTGTTGCAGAACTACCGGAAGAGGCTGAGGAAACCAAGATGCAAACCAGAGCAAAACCAGAATACAGGCAGAGGCAGAACTGGGGCACAGGGAGGGATGAGCTACAGCTGGGAGGGCACAGGTATGACACTGGTGCGGCAGGAGTGGGATCTCTCTTTCTCTCTCTCTCCCTCCCTTCCTCCCTCCCTCCTCCTCTCCCCTTTTTCCTTTCCCTCCCTGCCTGCCTCCCTCCCTCTTCTGTCTCTTCTCTGTCAAATTCAACAGTCAGATTCTCTTTTCTTCTAGATTAATTTAACAAAATAAAAGACAGCTAATAGGAAACAGCGAACTGGATCTTTTGCAAATGAGGGCACCCAGTAATGGAGGGAGAGGGAGGTGAGGGAAGAGGATGTTAAAAAAAATGAAGATAAGACTTGTTCATGTGCCTACTCCCCACAACGTGTATGATCATCTTGCCTAGCAAACACAGACTCATAGAAATACAAGGCAGAGCCCAGGTGGTGGGTGAGTCCTCTGGAATCAGCCACAGAGGGAGACTGTTCAGAAGGTTTTGGAAGAAGGCAGGGCTATTTTCCCAGAGTGCCTTGCGGTGCTCACTCCGGCTGGAAGAAGCAGAGGGCACCCACATCCAGGACGCTTGTACCACCCATAGGCCACATCCTACCTTCTGGCACTGCACGCACTGTGGCGCATACTGCTGCTCATAGCAGGGCACACAGAGGTTCTCGCTGTCCTTGGGGATGAAGCTCTGTGTCCCAATTGGCCGCTGGCAACGGTGACACACGAAGCAGGTCTCGTGCCAGCTGCTGCCCTTGTACTCCATCTTGCGGGTCCCTGTCACAGAGGAAGGGGACAGCATAGTCAGCGCTGGCCAGCAATGTGACCCAAAAGTCACTTGGCCTCCTCTCACCTCCGAAAGGGGACCTCATAGTGGGCTTCACCTTCACCAGTTAAGAGAAAAAGTCTTTAGTCTGCCAGCACTGCAGAGGGTCAGAGCTGCAGAAATGGAGCAATCCTTGCACAGGGTAAATTTCAGAGTATGGGGACCACAGAAATCTCCTTTAACTCTGGCTTTCACTGCCTGTGAGCAACCTCAGTTTGCAAATATTGAGTAGAAAATTCCAGAAATAAACAATTCATTTGTTTTAGACTACTCAGCAGTCTGAGGATGTGAAGAAACCGCATCGTTTCAACCCATTCCATCCAGACATGAATGGTCCCTTTGACCATCAGATCCTTGCTGTGTACTACCCACCCAATAGTGACAGCAGCCCTTAGTCTCCAGTGTCAGACTGACTGTCATGGGATGGCAGGCTGTGTGCAGGGGACCCTGATTGTACTTCAAAATGGCCCATTTAGCGTTCTACTGGTCATGGTTTTAGCATATTAGTAATTAATCTCTTACTGTGCCTAGCTGACAGATTAAACTTTAACACAGGTGAGCGCATAGCATCTCTAGGCTGCACACCTAAGTTCCAGGCACCACAAGGAGTCTGAACACGCATCTCCAAGGTGGGCACTGCTGTGTGTTCTCAGCTATGAGCACCCTCGCTGGTTCCCAGAGAACTGGGAATGGCAGCGGTGAACTTGAAGCTCCGCTGGGTTCCATGCAGATTTCTACATACTCATGCTACAGAACCGACCATGAGAGCCAGGCTGGGGGGTGTGTGTCTGTGTGGCTTTGTGCACTGTGATAGAAACCTACTCATTCCACTAAGCAGCTCTCCCTGATCTTGCCCTGCACCATCCCTTTCCTGTTGAATGACTGGTGTCATTTATCATCCACATCAATTAGGAAGTCCTGCACAATGGAACAGTCCATGCACAAAGCACCTGCCATTTACAGTGGGTTTTCCTCATACTCTACCAAAAAGTGTATATATTTATGGCAAATATAATTCAAGACAGAAGACTGTGCAAGCACCCTTTGTAGAAAACAGAAGTAAAGAAAGACTTGGAGGAGAGGAATACAGTGAATAGGGAAACAGGAAGTTTCCAACACATCAGTAGCTCAGGGCCCAGCCCAACCACTACCTGGTTTTCGGATGAGCTCTCGCTGGTTTTGGTTGTTTTGCTTTGTGGCACAGGAGACTGACCCCCTGTGCATGCCAGGGAACCCTTCCCCCACAGCCACACCTCAGCCCCTATGTGGGGCTCACCTCTGGGGTCATGGAAAGGAGCGTGGTGTGGACTCCAGCCTGGGCTTGGGGGAGGGGGTGGCAAGGAAGCCACCTCTAATCCACTCAGGTGGACCATGTGAGGTGACAAGGTGCCTATGAGCCAGTCTTTCACCCCACACTGGGCTTCATGAACATGGTCCTGGCAACAAGGCAGGGGCTGTGTCTCAGCTGGCAGCTGATCAGGTGATGTCTGTGTCCCAGGGGCACTGAGAGCCATCGCACCACTACCTCCTTAGATGTTGTTTCTGGGCAACTTCCTCATCTTTCTGTCCCCATCCGTGCACACTTTGTAACACAGATGGTGATTGTGCAAGAGCACAGTGCAGGTGGCGCTGGCATGACCTCACAGCCTACAGGATTTGATATGGGCAAAGGCTCCTGCAGGGACGTTCCATCAGGCAACTCAAGTCCAGAGAAAGACAGTGGAAACCGCTGGTGTCCAGGTAGTGTCAGTGTCTGTGGCCTCTGGACTGGAGGATTCTGCCACAGTAGGATGGGACTCCTTAGAGTGTGCTCTCTCCAGGCCTGTTGTGCCATGATGCAGCATGGCCAGCAGGTGGCAGGAGCATGCCTTGACCGAGGGACATGCTTAACTCCTATCCCCAAAAAGGGTCATACAACCCCAGAGTCCATGCTTGGAGCCCAACAGCACCCATGAAAAGACTTGGCCAGTGGGCTCGGCACCCTGGTCTGCGATGTAGACATCAAGAGACTGGGGTATGGGTGTGAGTCGGGATGGACTCCCCAAGTTCAAGTCCAGCAGGGGCAAAATTGTGAGACTCTTAACTCTTAAAAATAAAACAAAGCAAAAAAACAAAACAAAAAACAAAACAAGAGTCCTGCACAGATGTTGCTCTGAAGGTGCTTTTTAGACATAGCATTTATATTCAGGAGGCTTGGAGTGAAGTAGGCAGCCTGCCATGACACAGGTGGCCCTCATCTATCAGCTGAAAATTGCACAATCCTGCCTCGTGCCCTGTGTGCATATGCGCTGGTGCCTGCGTTCCTGTGTCCTTTCTTTTCTTTCTTTTTTTTTTTTTGGTACCGGGGATTGAACTTGGGTCCTCATGCTTGCAAGGCAGGAGCCAGAACCACTGAGCTAAATCCCCAGCCCCCTGTGTCCTTTCTGATGTCCAAGGCAGCAGTATGAGTGCACCCTGGACTCCACCTGCAGCCCACACTGCACTTTCTTCACAGTGAGGCTGGGTTGTGGGAGCCCTAGGTCCCTTCGTCCTCACTCAAGCCTTCTCCATGTCACTGCAGGCCCTGGGCACAACCTCAATGCCACACAATAACACTAACTAGAGCCCCACACCCCTCCCCAGAACTGCCCCTCCTGAGTCACCCCACTCCTCTGAGGCTATCCAGACGCTCTCGGTCCGGAAGACCCCAGGCCCCACTCCTGATGCTGGATGAAGCGCAGGAGAGCTGGAGTGGCCAGAGGCCAAGGACACAGAGTAACTCAGGGAGAGGACTGCTGCAGGGACACACAACTCTGAGCTTACACTGCTGGGCTGTGGGTAATTCAGGGAAGGCATGAAGGGGCTTGCGGCATGTGTAGAAATGGTGAGGATAGGGAGACCAAGTAGTGTGCTGAGATCCAGGCCTGGTGGCGCATGTCTGTAATCACAGTACTCAAGAGTACTGAGGCAGCAGTATCTGGGACTGGCTACATAGCACGCTCAAGGCTGTCTGGGACTACAGCGGAGAACTTGTCTTGAAATATCAACATCAAAACAAGTTTGCTCTGAGTCCCAAGGGAGCCTTTCTTGGACTCTTGTCACAAAAAATCTCTTTCCAGCCCTGACTGTTTTGGGACAGCAACATCCTGCACTAGGTCACCTGGCTACCCATGGCCTCAATCCTGGGGCCACCACTGCACACCACTCGGGCCCTGAGTTTCCAGCCTCTGCGGTGTCAACATGGCCTCATGAGTGATCTGGCTGGAGCTCCGACCTTCCAAGTCTCCAGGCAGCCCTCTCCTCCCTGGGGCCCTGTCAGCAGGGTACTTTTGTCCATGGCAGTACCTGTTCTCTCCATGGCATGGTGCTGTTATTTACTTTGAGGTGGGGTCTCACCCTTTTGCACAGGCTGGTCTCAAGCTCCTGGAATTAAGCAACCCTCCTGCCTCAGCCTCCTGAGTAGCTGGGACTACAGCTATGTGCCATCGTGCTGGCCCACCACAGTTACTTTTAAGTTATATTAGCTAGAGCTGCAGTAGCACTAAGAAACCATCTTGCTAAAGGCCTATGTGTCTCCCTTTTAAGAATTACTGCTCCATATCAATAGACTTACATCTTCCTGAGATATTTCCCATACATCACTCCCACTCAGACTCCTCCAGTGTCTCCTCAGAGTGCAGACAAAGCAACCAAATCAAACAGAAACAGCACGGCTGGGTCATCCGGGCCTTCCAGGTATGGCAGGGAGTGACTAAATTCTCTTTGAACTTAATTGTCTTCGCACATCAGTGCAGGGTTATGCAGACCCCACCTTGCTTTTCAGAAATCAGTGTTTGCTCTGTTGAAACTACAGGCTCAGAGCCCTCGAATTTAGCTCTTTTCATGTGTCTTGCTATTGCATTCATTAATGAAGTGAATGTGTAAAATCTCTCTGGGCTAGGGGTGCCAGTGCATACCTGTAATCCCGCTACCCAGGAGGTTGAGGCAGGAGGATCATTCAGCCCTGAAGGTCAAAACCCAACTGGGCAGCACACTGAGGCCTTGTTTCTTTTTCTTTTCTTTTTCTAAATCCTTTTTAAGGAGGCTTTGTGTTTGGTCCCATTTACTAATAGTGGGAGTTGAACTTTTTAAAAGTTACATGTTCAAATTTAATATATTTGGTAGTCCTTTTAAATTCTTCACTAAGAAACCTCAGGTTCTTAAGCAGTTATTGAAATAAAGTACACTGGTGAATCACAAGATATTTTAAATGTCAAAATAGTTTATATATTGAAAAAATTTCAACTTAAAATCATAAGCCCAGCTCACTTATTCAATTGCATACTTTAAAAATCATATCACAAGGGCCAGGGATGTAGCTTAGTGGTGCCACGGCTGCCTGAGTTTGATCCCCAGTACCAAAGAAAAAAATCAGATCACAAGGTCAATTTACTTTTTTAAAAACTTCACACATTTTATCAGTTATCTAGTGGGCCATTTTCCTGTGGGCTAGAGTCTCTTAGCACTGTGCCTGCCTTTACTTCTAAGCCTCCAGGTTCTGGCCACAGAAGCCATTCCTATTTGCTGTATTTTCCAGGGAAGTTGGGGTTCACCACCCAGCTGTGCCCAGTTCCTTGGCAAGAGGGCACTGGCAGATCCCCCGACTCAGGCAGGAGTCCAGGCCCCCAATGCCAGGTCTCCAGCGCCTCTGTTCACTCTGAAATGCCTCTGCCACCCCTTGGACTGGAACTGGGCAGCTTGTGGCCTCTGGGGTCACAGTTGGCTTCCGATGGGGGGATCTGCCCCTCCCAGGGACACATGGCAGAGTGGCTCCTCCATGGCCAGGCGAGGTGCCCACAAAAACACTCTCAATGTTCAGATCTGACCGTGTTCTGTGTCTTGTGGGTGTACCCTGGCCACTCTGCTGCTGGCCACCATAGACCGCTCACTCACCCAAATGCTGATGGCTCTGGACAGCCCCAGGGCATGGCTGTCCTTTTCCTCAGCCATCCAAGCCCAAAGCAGCTTTCATCCTTGAGCTCAGCTACTCTCCACCCTCATCTCTGCGTGTGTCTGACAGCATCTGCTTTGCTAATTCTGCATTTCAAGGTCGCTTATGTTTTTAAGAGGGCCAGCATTTTTAGGGGGAAGCCCAGTGCCCTCTTGCTAGAGCCAGCCCTATGTGCCCCTGTTACACAAAAAGCACTGTGTCCATGCTGACTGTGTACAGCTTTGTTGGTGGTCATTCCTTACCACGAGAGATAGCATCTATGTCCACGGAGGGTGTGATGAGCCATCAGAGGACATGAACACATGGCACCTGCACAGACAACTGTGCCACTGTCGAAAGGACCACGTACCTCCGTACCCGAGCCCACCCTGCAGTTCCCTGGTGCAGCTGTGTGAGGTGTCAGCTGTACCCCAACACACACGAACACACACACACACACACACACACACACACACACACACACACACAACAAGATCTGCTTCCGCCCACAGCCCAGCCTTCTGCCCTGCTCTGAGAGAGACCCCGCATGTACTGACCAGGCATGATGGTCTTCCTGCACTCCTGGCAGCGGGACGAGTACTCGTTGGAGTAGCAGTCGGTGCACAGCAGCTGGTCCTCCTTGGCGGCAAAGGGCTTGTCCACCAGCGAGCCACGGCACTGTGAGCAGCAGAAGCAACCCTGGTGCCAGTGCCGTTCCTTATAGGACAGGTCCTGCGGGCAGACACACATGTGATGTCAGGGCTTAGGCACGGAAGGCAAGGCACAGATGGCACAGGCCCTGAGCAGACGGGGTGGGGAGAGAAAGAGCCTGGGAGAGAAGACTGTGGACTCTGCGCTGCCCTTGGCCTTCCCTGGGGGATGATAAGAGATCTTTGCATATTTTTATTTGCCTTTTTAAAATGACAGCCAGCATTTCGAAAGTTCTAGTATAAAACTGAAGTAGCCACTTTTCCAGCCAGCACTGCCTTAGAAATGCTGTTCCATTATTGTCTGTCTTTGAATTCCCGGCTCAGACCGAGACCCCTGCAACTATGGTTTCCAGACCATGGCTGGGCCTTAGGCGACCAGAACACCCAGGTGAGGGAGGCTGTGCACACAGAGGGCCACCAAGAACAGTGTCCCCAAAGTGTCTCTGTCACCCACGCTGGAGCAGAACTGCAGTTATGCAGGGGTGGGGTGTGAAAACTCGATTCATAGACTTGATTAGAAACTACCAGGGCACAGCTAAGTTTGGAAACCGGACCAAGGCAAGGACTCTCTTTTGCTGAGTCCTGCTGTGTGTATGTGCGTGTGTGTACAAGTGTGTCCATACATGTGTGCATTACCTGTGTGTGTGGGTGCATGTATGTTCCCAGAACCTCAGATCAAACTAATGCTATTGCCTTGATCTCTGCCCATTTTTGTCTTAGTCCAAGGAGTTTTTCTAGGCAAATGTCCTGCCACTTTAAACACAGTCACTGCTGTGGTGCTGTGAGGCCATCAGTGGGTGCCCTGAGGTGGCTGTCTCTCAGGACAGGGACAGGGACAGGGTCAGCAGAGTGAAGTGCCAGCCCTCTCCAGCTGGCAGGAACTCACAGAACGGGGGGTGAGGGCAGGGGTGGGGGAACATGGGACCCGCTGTCTTTTGCATTTTTACTTTTAAGTATTTTCAGAACTCTGGGAGGATCACTTGTAGTCCTTGTGATTCTGAAGAGTGAAGTTAAAGTACCAACTGCCTTAATGCTAGTGAGCCTGTCTGTGTGAGCACACTGGAGACTGTGGAGCTTGGAGGCCCACACACACACCACCGTCACTCAGGAGGAGGCCCAGCCTCCACACACATTCCTCTTCAAGAAGAAATCAAAGCCTAGCCCCAGAAATCAAGGTACCAGTGATCATTCTGTGACCACACAGTGAGTCCCAGGCAAGGTGGACCCTGCCACCCAGGGAGAGAGTTCCAAAGCTTGCCTCCCTCCCACAGGTGGCGTGGGCTGAGCCAGGCTTCAAGCTCAAATTTGCTTCCAGAGCTGTTTTCCCACTGAACCACAGCAGCTGATGGCCAGGCCTGTGCTACTCTTTGCTTAAAAAAAAAAAAAAAAAAAAA